CGACACGAATACTGGCCACACATCACATGGAATTCCTTCGCGAAGCCGATCACATACTGGTGTTGAGTGAGGGAAGGGTTGTTGAGTCGGGTGGTTATGACGAGTTGGCTGAGAGGGGAGTGCTTTCCGACCACGAGTTCAATGAGTCGGACAATCAGTCCATAGGAAGTGGGCATAAGATGTCGCGACAGACCTCACGAGTCAGTGAAAGTGAAACAATAGGAAAGATGTCGAGAAAGACATCCAGAGTAAGCGAAAGTGAATCCACGGGACGATTGTCTCGACAAATATCTAAGAGAGAAGAAGACGACAAAAACCAAACAAAAGATTCAAAACTAATAGAAGAGGAGACCCGGGAGTTTGGGTCCATTAAATTCAGTGTTTACTTAATGTATTGGAAAGAAATGGGATTCATATTCATAATTATCCCCTTAATAACGGCAATTATATTCAATTCGTGTGAAATCGGTGCCAATTTCTGGCTGAATGTGTGGACCTCACAGAATACAACCCAAACACAGACTTCTGAAACACATAATAATAACTTTTATTTAGGTATCTATTTATCGCTCATTATATTACAGGCGGTGATTGTGTTGATACAGCAGATGGTGGTGACAACGGGCGCCGCGAAGGCCTCGGAAGTGCTCCACAAAGACATGTTGTCTTGCATTCTGCGAACCCCTCTGTCCTTCTTCGATGTCACGCCTTTGGGACGAATCATAAACCGATTTAATCGTGACTTTCAGATGATTGATACCACTATACCCCTACTCATGAACGAGTCTATGCTTTGTTTTGTTTATTTTCTAATTGTCCTGGGTGTTATTGTGTCCACGAACGCATATATGCTTATTTTCATGCTTATTGTCTTCATATTGTTTTTAATAATTTCCGTGAGTTATAGACAATATTTTACAATTATTTTCTAATTATTATTAAAATTAATTATATTTATAAATAGAGAATCTATTTGTGGACTTCGAGACAATTAAATCGCTTAAAATCGATCACTAAATCTCCGATTTATAGTCATTTCAATGAAAGCATTTCCGGTGCCGTCTCCATAAGGGTCTACAAAATTCAAAACTTATTTACAGAAAAGTTGCAGAACTTTATGGATATTAACAACAATATAGCAAAACATGTTTACCAAACATCCATGTGGTATGTAGTTAACAGTTATATTATAGTACTGTATATTTTACTGTATATATGTGCTGTATATTTTTATTATAATTATTTATTTATTAATTTTCAAGGATTGATATTTGGTCCACACTTATCGGCACATTAATTACAATCCCAACCGCACTGATAGTGGTCTTAGAGAGGGACAAAATAACCCCCGGTTTGGCCGGTTTTTTGCTCATGTATTCAATAGACATTATTAACAGCCTTTCATGGACTCTAAAAATGGGCGGACAACTCGAGACGGAAATGGTTTGCGTTGAAAGAGTCAAAGAGTATTCCCAATTGGATCCGGAATATAGTTGGGAATCAACGGATACTAACAAACCCTCTGATGTCTGGCCCACAAGTGCCTCCATAGAGTTCATCGATTATAGCGCTTCCTATAGACCGGGACTCGAACCGGTTCTCAAGAACTTGAACTTCAGGGTAGAGTCGGGAGAAAAGGTGGGAATAGTCGGCCGGACGGGCGCCGGGAAGTCGTCGATGACTTTGGCGTTGTTTCGGATAATAGAGCCGACATTCGGACAGATAGTGATCGATGGCGTGGATGTGACTCGTATTGGTTTACATGACTTGCGGTCGAAGTTAACGATTATACCACAGGAACCCAATCTCTTCGCCGGAACTCTTCGACTCAATTTGGATCCGTTTGAGGAATACTCTGACGAAGAATTGTGGACATCATTAGAAAGGGCTCACTTGAAGGTAATGTCAGAAATATACATAAAATATAGCTTTAATTAAAACATTAATAATTGTTTCGATGGACAGGACTTCATATCTCATACATCCGATGGCCTCTCGTATGAGATCACAGAAAGTGGTGATAATCTGAGTGCAGGTCAAAGACAATTGGTTTGTCTCTCGCGAGCACTTCTTCGCCACTCAATTCCATAGAGTTCATCGATTATAGCGCTTCCTATAGACCGGGACTCGAACCGGTTCTCAAGAACTTGAACTTCAGGGTAGAGTCGGGAGAAAAGGTGGGAATAGTCGGCCGGACGGGCGCCGGGAAGTCGTCGATGACTTTGGCGTTGTTTAGGATAATAGAGCCGACATTCGGACAGATAGTGATCGATGGCGTGGATGTGACTCGTATTGGTTTACATGACTTGCGGTCGAAGTTAACGATTATCCCACAGGAACCCAATCTCTTCGCCGGAACCCTTCGACTCAATTTGGATCCGTTTGAGGAATATTCTGACGAAGAATTGTGGACATCATTAGAAAGGGCTCACCTGAAGGTAGTGTCAGAAATATACACAAAATATAGCTTTAATTAAAACACTAATAATTGCTTTGATGGACAGGACTTCATATCTCATACATCCGATGGTCTCTCGTATGAGATCACAGAAAGTGGTGATAATCTGAGTGCAGGTCAAAGACAATTGGTTTGTCTCTCGCGAGCACTTCTTCGCCACTCAAAGATCCTGATCCTCGACGAGGCGACGGCTGCCTGTGATTTGGANGAAACCGATTCACTGATTCAGTCGACTATTAGGGATGAGTTCAGTGACTGCACTGTTTTGACAATCGCTCACCGATTGAATACAGTCTTGGATTACAACAAGATTTTGGTTTTAGACAACGGAGTCATCGCTGAAATGGATTCACCGAAGAATTTACTCCAAAGACCTGATTCTCTGTTCTATGGTTTGGCCAAAGAATTCGGAATTATTTAGTGCATCGATTCATACAAACAATTCATTTCATGATTTATTATATTCTGTATTATATTTATTATAACGACTAAAATAAACATACATTCACTGAATATTTTCGTATAAAGTTATTTCATTTTCCCAAAGTATAGTTCTGTAATATCTAATAATTTGCAACATTTAATAATAGCAATTAGTTTTTATTATTCCGATTATTTTTATCTCGATTATCCAATTATAGTACATTAAGGTTAAGTGTTTTATTGTTTGCATTCACTTATCATATATAAGACTCAGACTGTTATCCTATTTATTGCATATGAGACTCATTTTCAGTTCAATTCAGTTGATAAGAATATTCCGTATAATGAAATAAATACAATGCAATCAATACGAGTCCCCATATGCTATGCAAAGCCTATAAGCACCTACTCTCACATCAACTCCCTGTCCACTATTTATGTGACGTTTTCTATGAACACTCACTCCATGTGTTTGTGTTGTCTGTTCAGTGGACCAAATGTCTTGAAGTGGTTGCTCACGAGTGGTGCAACACTTGATGTCTTCAGTTCCCACGCAATGTCTATGCGTTTGGATTACGTTTAATACGAGACTTAATGTCACCGTCTGTTCAATCAGTCACTTCGTGTTGCCATCAATTGTCCAAACGTTTGGTTTTCGGTCACAAAAACGCTAATCAATTGAATGATACATACATTTACGTCAATATAATATTCATATTGTGTTCAATGGATATTCAATATAATTATTGAATGCAGTCATACTGTAGTCATACTGTAGTCACTGAATATGTCTTATCACACAAAGTGTTCACTAATTATTAATATTAATATTTTGTGACCGAAATACTAATCATTAAAGTGCTTGTTATCAATGACTTGATTAAATCTATAGTGATTTTCAACTTTTTTTTTGTATACATATACTTATTCGCAATGATTAGAGTATTTAACAGTAAATAAGTTTCTATTTGCTCTCAAATATATTGTCTAACAAATGTTATGTAATATAGCGACTATTTTATACAAATATTTTTAGCACTGATTTTTATTTTTACAGTAGTTTTTAATGAATAAATGCTTTTTTTGTATTTTCTGATCACAACTTTGAAAAGTGATTCAAATTATTATTTCATCGATTGTTTGTAATTTAATAAATGTGCAAAATTATAGTATATAAGTATTGAATAAATATATTTTTCACCACCTTGTTACTTGTTAATAGATTCTCATGTTTTTATAGTGAATATTTAATGTTAATATTCAGTACCAATCAGTTCACTACAGTTATAATGAACCAGATTTTTGGAGTTTAACTTAACTTTTAATAAGTTTTAATAAATGCAATAAAATGTCGCAAAATAAGTCAATTATGTTTTGTAATACGGCTTTTTGGGTGAGTTTTGTCGCAACTCTTTATCTCATAACAATGAATACAGTATTATTGCTAATTACCGTATATGTCATAATTATACAGTACAGTAGTATTTCTTTTTTTATGTTAAAATCCAAACTTGCAAAATTTCAGTTTCATAACTAAACATCATTTTTTATACAATTTGATTTATCATTTTCCAATTGCACTTACAATCTTACACATAGACATCAAATATTTCCTTGAATCAATTTAAAATGCAAAAAAATTTATATATTATATAACATTTCCAGAATTGGACTCTGAGTTGGGATTCCGATATCCCGGTACTGACCGACTGTTTCACACAAACAGTATTACCAGTGATTCCACTCTCAGTCCTATTACTACTTCTTCCGTACGATATATATGTTGTCCGCAAATACAATCAAAAATTACCGCCAATTCCCTATCAATGGAGAAATTTATTGCATTTGGTATTTATTAAAATTTAGTTTTATATTTAAAAAATTAACTTGTTCGTTTACTTTTATAGCTAACAATCATTTGCTTGAATATTATATCATTTATAAACTTAGCGAAGAGTTTATGGAAATATTTTGAGAATGAAATCCATTTATTATTAATAAGCGAAATATTTTCGCATTCAATCAAATTTATCACTTACTTCTTGGTCACCACTTTTATTGTGATATTCCGTCGGTATGGGCACCGGCACCCCAGCTCCATACCTATCCAATGGTTGACCAGCTTAGTGGTTGTATCCATTAATATGTATCAATTCCTGCAAATAAATAATAACCAAAACCTTGTATTGGAAACTATATTGAGATCTATTGAGGCATTCCTTACACTTCAAGCTCTGGTCCTCTCATGTCTTAATCAAAAAGTGTCTGAATTTCAAATATTAGACTCCGATAGTCGACACATATGTCCGATGAATGACTTTAATATATTCTCCAAAATATTCATTGTTTGGCTCAAAGACATCCTAAAACACGGCTACAAAACAAACACTGATTTGAGTCAACATTTGCTTCCGATTTGTGATTACATTAAATCCAAGAATGCTTACGATTCGTACGAATCAACGAACAGTTCATACAATTCAAATCCATTGGTCAAAGAAATCAGATTATTGCCAATGCTATGGTGGACGGGTTGGGTGCCATTCACAGTGTCGGCGCTCATGGAGTTCGGTAACATCGCCGCCCAATTCATTCAGCCCTACATTCTGTCCAAACTTATAGACTTCGTGTCGGAGTCCGACCATCTGTGGCACGGATTGTGTTACGCAATGGCCTACTGTTTCTCTAACCTATTGGCCCGACTATTTGACGCCCACTCCTATCTGTTCATAAGTCTGGCCTATTATAGGGTGAAGTCGTCCCTCATAACAGCTCTCTATAGAAAAATGCTTAAACTAAGTGCCAGTTCTCGTAGGGAATACACAACCGGTAGACGATTAACAGAATATTCTGTAATTATTTGTTAATTATTTATATTTTTGATTTAAAGGTGAAATCAATAACATAATGGGTGTCGATATCGGAGAGGTCTGTGATTTACTCCATTCAATGACAACATTGTATTCAATCCCCACAAGTCTTGGAATCGGAGTCTATATTCTGTGGCAACAATTGGGTCCGTCATCACTGACTATGTTTGGTGTTATGCTAGTCGTGGGTCCGTTCACAACGTATATTATGAAACGTATCGATGATTTTCAAACCAAACAAATGGAGCTCAAAGACAAACGTATGGAACAAATCAGTGAAGTATTAAATAATGTAA